GATTTGTTGCCCAAAATATTTGAGATAACGAGCTGAACATCTGGGTGCTGTAGAAGGTATGTGATATCCGGCGAGAGGTTGGACGAGTCGAAGGTCCGGGTTGATGAAAAAGACGGAGCAGCTTGAGGGAGGGGGGATCCATGGCTGCGAGGGAAGCTATATAAAAAAATTGAAAAACCCGGCGGCAAGGGGCCGGGGCCGCCGACGGCGGCGGCTGAAGAGGAGGACTATGCGGTGGTGGTGGCGGGTGGGGAGAGGCGGAGGTGGATGAAAATAGCAGGGAAGGAAGAAAAACCTAGAGAGAGAAATGTAGAGAGAAGGGAGAGCATTTTTTTTTGTGTCTTTTTTGTCTTTTGTTTCGATTTCTTGCTGCTAGGTTAGTTGAGTTTTGTTGCTAGGTTAGTTGTATTAAGTTGCTAAGTTGTTTCTTTCTTGCTGCTAGATTAGTTATCTGTTGTTGCTAGGTTAGTTATCTGTAGCTACTAGGTTAGTTGTGTTTTACTGCTAGGTTAGTTGTCTGTTGCTGCTAGGTTTGTTGTCTGAAGGACGGGGGATTGGGCTGGATCCCCAACCTGTGCATAGATCAGGGCCCCAAAAACGGGAGCCCAAATGTCAACGAACCAGATACAAAGGTCTACATAGTCTGACAATCAAAAACAAAAACAAAAGGAAAACAAGAAAGAAAAACCGAAAACCAAAAAAGAAACAAAAACTACAATATAAAATCTGTTGCTGCTAGGTTAGTTGTATTTTGTTGCTAGGTTATTTCTTTCTTGCTGCTAGGTTAATTGTCTGATGCTGCTAGGTTAGTTGTATTTTATTGCTAGGATATTTCTTTCTTGCTGCTAGGTTATTTATTTCTTGCTGCTAGGTTAGTTGTCAACGGGTCAACGCCGGAAGTCAACGGTTTTCACCGAAAGTCAACGCTGGAAGTCAACGGTCAACGTCGGAGTCAACTAATAATTATTTTATTATTTAATTAATGTATATTTTAATTGATTTCGATCTAGACAAAATGAGTGAGTAAGATTGAGTCTCAAGTACTCATTTTAAGGAGTGGTCTCATTGAATCCGCCCCCTAAGTAAGGGGCTAGTGGGATCCAATCCAGAAGCCTAAACTTTCGTACGCTCCATTCCAGTGATGTTTAGCCGCGATAGATACGTAGCTCGGGGCCTTCTTGCAGGTATTATATAAATATATATATATATAATATATATTATGCACACAATAATAAATATATCATCAAGTAATTATTTCACTTTGGCAATTAAAAAAAAACAAATAATAATAAATAATAATAATGCTAAAATACTCGAAAAATCCAATAAACGAATGGCTTAGATTCAAACCACGCGATTAAACCGAAATCGCCGAATGACGAACGTTTTAAAATAAAACGATCGAGTACTTCAACATAAAATTTAAGTCGACATCGCGACCAATACAATAAATATGATCTTATAAATAAAATTCGATAAATAGAATAATCCAAGAAATTCTATAAATCGAATGGGACATTATATTATCTTTATGACAATATAATGTGATGGTTTAATCGAGAAATAATCTTAAATAGCCGAAATAAAATAATACCATGAAATTTCATAAAATCCAAATAATCACATAAATTCTATTATTCGAACGGGGCGCTACAACCTTAGAACAGCTTTGAGTTAAGTTGTAATTCCATATGAGATTAGAATATTTCGTCCCCAAGGGGTATCGACCTAGAGGTTGGTTCCCTTATAGCCAAGTGTTACAAACTCCAATTAGAATTAAGGACTGTAGTACAACTCTGAGTTAAGCTCTAAATTTAGATGCGCATAAGAATTAGTTTTGCCTAAGAATGAGCAGTGACCTACAGATTAGGTCTTACAGTCAGTTATCATCAAGCGTGAAGGTCCAGTGTCCTTCTCGTGAGTCGAGCAACAATTATAGACAGTCAGCCGAGCAGCAGTTATAGACAGTCAGTCGAGTAGCAAATATATTTAGTCAGTCGAAGATTAAGAATATTTTAATGAGCATATCATGTAGTATTATTGAACATGTATATATTTGTAGATTCGAATTATTATTTGCATCCGCATTTTAGACTTGTAATTCAGATTTCATACTTAGACTATGCATGATTTACCAGCCCAGAGTCCGGGAGGCAGTAAGAGTACAGTTAGATGCATATATGCCTAGAGTCTTCAAACAGATATAGATTAAAGTTGAGTAGCATTCCGCAGATTAATGTTAAAGTATTTTCTAAAAAATTAAATGAGAGTTTTCGAAAATTAAATAAGTTCTTTCCAATTATAGTGAGAAAAATTTACTCTGTTTTTAGTAAGTTTAGGCGGGGTGTTACAGCTGGTATCAGAGCCATTTAGCGGTTCTATATACTTTAAAAAAAATTCTAGAAAAATATGACCACACCACGCTCACGTCGCGCCGACTCCGAGGTACGTCACCTGAACCTGTAATTATTATTGCAAATGCATAATCATCATAGTAAGAGTAGTTAAGGGGCTTATGATCTATCCTTCGATTAAGAGTGGAGAACTTTAGTCAGAATTCTAGAAAGTTGAGCTAAGTCCAAGCTCTAGATTAAGTCGGAACTCTAGCCAGAACATAGAGGAGTTAAGTGTAAATCTGAACTCTAGCCAAGCTAGGTGTTTTCGGCATTTCATTAATAAATTCGTTAAGTATAGTGTAGTTATTTCTTATCGGCTATATTGTCCTAGTCAAATTGAAATGAGCTATCCAGAATGCCATTAATTTTTCTGAGTAATTAATACTCCATCAACTCATTTTTCTAGTCCCTGTTAATTGGCCATTCAGATCCTCCTCGCAGAGCTTTGATTCTGCCTGCAACGCCAGAGTGCAACCAGGCCTATTCTATCTCACAATTCCGCAGGTTCCACCCAACGATGTTCAACGGCCATGGAGACTTGAGGATAGTTGATGAGTGGTTGCGTAGCCTTGACCTGATTTTCAAGGTGATAGATTGCCCCGAGGCACATTGGATCATGTGTGCGTAGCTCCAATTAACATGGGATGCAGACCTATGGTGGGTAGCGTACTGGGACATGAGGCCAGGAGAAAAGGAGGCCCTCACTTGGGCTCGCCTGATGGAGATTCTCTGGGAGAAGTACTACCCAACGCACTACCGCGAGAGGATGAAGCGCCAGTTTCTAGCCGTGAAGCAGGGGGACAGAATAGTGGATGATTACGAGCACGAGTTCACTCACCTCAGTTTCTTTATCCCCCACCTGATCGCAGACGAGAAGCAGAGGTCCCGCCGCTTACGAGGTGGTCTTCGCGACAAGATCCGCCACCATCTCGCCGCCCATGGCCCGCTATCATATGTTGAGACCGGCACTAGGGCTCCGTAGGCCAATGAGAGCTTTGGGTTGTGCAGCCAGTCATACACCAGCAAGCTGATCAGCAGCCCGTAGTACCAATGCCACCTCAGTAGGCCCCCAGGCCAAACAAGAGGAAGATCTGAGGTCATGATGGGAGAGAAGATAGACGGAGGGGAAAAGCCTCAGCTCAGATAGCCCAGCCACCACAGCAGGTTCCACCAGCCTGCGCCACATGCGGATGCCCTCACCGAGGAGAGTGCCTAGCCAGACAAAACATTTGCTATCAGTGCCGCAGGCCAGGCCATACAGCCTGTACCTACCTAGACCATGCCTCAAACTAGCTGGGAGGAGGAGCGTCGTTTAGTTAGTTTCATTCATTGTATATCTGCGATCATGACGTATTTCCAGTGAACTCATTGGAATCCTTTTGATTTTCCTTCCTTGCATGCTTTGAGACTCCTCTGAAGTTGAAATTTAAAACCCTAAAACCCAAAGATGTTGAATGTTTCTCCTATAAGTCCGGATTAAATTCTTATCGCAATGTCTAAAATGTTTCAATATTGGAAATGACCACGAAGTAAGTTGTTTAGCATTTTTAAAAGCTAAGTACGCGAATGCTACACACGAAAGGAGAGAGAGAGAGAGAGAGAGAGAGAGAGAGAGAGAGACCGTCTGAATTTCGTGGTGGACCAAGGTCGGATGAAGTAAAGAGTATTCGTCACCCTAGAACGTCCCAATAGTACGGAAATACACCAACGATAGACCGTAGCAGTCGCTAGAAGATCCGATAAAAGCCGAGAAACAGACGAAAAACCAACCCTCGCTCATGCGACAGTTGAAGAAGATCATAACACTTAAGAGCCCGAATTCTGGATTATGAATGCGTTAAGGAGAACGATTTGTCACCAAGACAGTTAATAGATGACGTATGGCGTAGGCACCGTACGACCTTGTACGGACACAAGGTAATTCGCCAGCGTACCACGATAGTAATATAGAGAGAAGGCTTCGCGGTCGAGAGTGGACCAACAGACGATTGGGAAGAGACCCAAGGATTCTAGCCAGGATTAAACGTAAGTTTCGAGTTAAGAATAGAATCAAGATATTGTCTCGTACTAATGCTTTCATTTGAGCCTATGTAGTAACGGTCTCCAGTGTTTAAGAGCCACTATTCCGGGTTACCATGGCGGCTTGAAATAAGAGTCACTAAGCCGGCTATACCATGGAGGCTTGAAACTGGGCCGAGACGAACATAACTCTCAATACGAGATGACTTTTTCCTGTCAGAAGGAACTAAATTTGAGCTGCATTGCTACGTGCTGCGTGCAAAGTACCGCGTAGTCATGTGCCAGAAAGTACGACAGGGAACCGGGAAATAGTTTACCCAAGATTGAGTAATGACCTGCAAGTAGGTCCTACCAGTCACAGGGTAGAGGCCAAGTGTCCTTACGTCCCCAGGCTCTGATGGAGTCCCAACGAATTCCATCGGAGTGTACACCTTATTTATTAGCCAAGTGTCTATAAATCCCAGATTTTGATGGAGTCTCAGCGAAGTCCATCAGAGTGTACACCTTATTTATTAGCCAAGTGTCTATAAATCCGAAATTCTAATGGAGTCCCATCGAATTCCATCGGAGTGTACACCTAATTCATTAGCCAAGTTTCTCTAAATCCCAGATTTTGATGGAGTCCCAGCGAATTCCATCAGAGTGTACACCTGATTTATTAGCCAAGTGTCTATAAATCCAAGATTTTGGTGGAATCCCTGCGAATTCCATCGGAATGTGCACCCTATCACCGGCCAAGTGTTCGGGAGTGGGCACTGGAATCCTAGCGTATTCTTTCATTACGGGCACACGATCACTGACTAAGTGTTCGGGAATCAACATTGGAGTACTAGCGTATTCCCTCATTATGTTCTCACGATCACCAACCAAGCGTTCGGGAGATGATAATAACCTAAATTACCGATCAAGTGTCTAAGGGTTAACAACAGATCAGTTTAAGAGAGTATATGCCCACTGCAGTATCCAAAGAGAAAAAAAAATATTCAAGCCAAAACCCTAGTGTTGAGTTTTGACTTGTATCTGAACTTATAGTTGAGTTCGGACTTGTACTTTAGATCAACATTTCTTAGGATGAAAATATTTTAAGGAGGATACATTGTAACGCCCCGAATATTTTTACTATTTATAGAGTTCGACTTTATTTCCATAAATAGCCAGTTTTCTTATTTGATGCATTTGATTATTATTATTATTTGCATTATATCGAGTAATTAATATTAAGTCTAAGCCATGGAGAGTCTATTTGATTTTTAATTTATAAATCAGATTCATTTAGCCCAAGTATCGATTTTATTTTTGAGATAAAGCCGAGCCTTGGAATAATCGGAATTTTATTTAGTCGGGCCGACGGACGAATATTTAACCTGCTCGACCCAAATCATTCTGAACGAGTCAATTCTATTTCGGCTGACTTTAATTAATCGAGCCCATATCCGATTTTATCCCGGCCCATTTTATTAAATCGAGCTCATGATCGATTTCATTTTATATCATTTTAAAAATCGAGTCATATTCAATTTTTAAATCTGAGCTCAATTATTTTATTAAATTTGGTTGACCAATTATTTTCGTCCAAGTCCCAATCAATTTTAATGTACCCGAGCATTTAATTTTCCTAAGTCAATATTCGGTTGACTAGACCGATTATTAAGCATGATATTACGCCCAATTGCAATATAAAACCCTAGTCTTCCTCCCCAACTATAAATAACACACTTGGTCCTCTCCCAACATCACCTTCATCATTCAAAACCCTAACCCAACATCACATTAGGGGTGTTCACGGTCCGGATTGGTCCGGTTTTAGTCCAAACCATGACCAAACCGGACCTAACGGTTAATTTTTTTTCTTGTCCATAACCGGACCGGTTTTATATTTTAACCGACCATAATCCGGACCGCATTGGACGGTCCGGTTTGGCGGTTAACCGGTTAAATCCAAAATCCTTGTTTTGGGCCTTTAATTTTTATTTTTTTTATTTTGGGTTTAGTTTTTATTTTTCAATTTTGGGTCCAAAAGAGATTATTTGGGCCTAAAAATTAAGAAAAACAACAATCATGAAATACAAATATATACAATTCGTCCCATAAGCATAAAAATACACATTTCGTCCCACAAACATAAAAATACAAAAATGATGAAGATTAAATTATTCAAATTGAACCCAAGCAAGCATTCATATTTCAGTCAGTTTATACACCTGGAATAATAAGAGCAAAGCATTCATAGTTAATGTATTGTATTTGTCGGCCATAGTGAATGACTTAATGTATATATATATATATATATTTGTTATAGTTTTTTAATATTTACCGGTCCGGTCCGGTTAAACCGGCGGTTTGCCGAAGGTAATCTGTTAACCGGACCGATTATTCCGGATTTTTAGAAAAATTAACCACCGGATTTTTTAAGGCTTTTTTAACTGACCATTTAACCGATCCGCGATCTGGATTGACGGTTTTTTACGGTTAAAACCGGACCGTGAACACCCCTACATCACATCCTCCATCACCATTATCATTCAAGGGAAATTCCTTAGAAAAAGTTCATTTTTCTAGCTCATTAGACCTTCCTCTTCACAAATCCAGCGAGTTTTCACGTTTTCCGGTCAGGCCACCTTCGGCAAGAATTTCGGTCGCCGGCGAGCCCTAGACCAGCACAGGTCTAGCCGCCTGTCCTTCCCTGCACCAGCGCCCGTACACCTCGCGTCGCTGTTCACCATCGTACCCCAGCACACCGTCGCGTCCGTATGCCCCATTCCAGCAACACACGTCCGTACACCGAGCAGATATGCGTCTCCCCGTGCCAGCGCGCCCAGATCTGCAACCACGAGCATATCACCTAGCCAGCCACAGTTTCAATTTTTATTTTGAGTCCATATCTAAGGTAAAAGGTTTAATCTCTACTCCATGGCATTAGACAAGTATTTTAGTTAATTATAAAAATGAGAATTGAGGATTTTGAGCTAGATGTGATTTTATATGAATTTATTGAATAAAAAGGCTATAAATTCGTATTATATTGTGAGCTGATCCGAAAAATGTGATTCCAATTGGATTAATTCTATTTTGATGTCTTGAGGCTTATGTTAAAATTCATAATTTTTGGAGATCGGTTGCCTATATTAACCGGATTTATGAATCTAGAGCCAAAATGCCCGATTGTTGTTAAATGAGTTGGAGGATTTATATTGCTGTGAGATTTTTACCATAAATCATGTATGTGCTGAGGAGGTTGTGTTTTAAATTTTGTGATTTTTGGGGGTAGTTGGATATGGATTAAAAATCGAGACTTTAGCCGAATAATGCGATATTTTTAGAAATTAGTCCTGCTGCGATTTAGCTGCAGTTGTTGGATGTAAAATCCTTATATATCACATTGAACTTAGGATTTAAATATCGGCTTTAAATGAGTTATGTTTTTTAAGAATCGAGAACCCTATTTTTATCCGGTTCCGATAATCGGGTAATTTTTGGATCCGAGTTTAATTGTCCGAACCCTAGTCGTTTAAACAACTTTAGATGTTATAAGATTATAAATGTTTCCTTGAGTGTCAGGAAGTGGTCCGACTGGTTAGTCTCCAACGGGACAATAACCGAGCCTGAGAAGGCTATCGAGGCCGTGTGCCTTGTAGCGAGCGGAATTGCCCAACCAACGTGCATTTGCACGTACCCTCAACGCGTATCGTCGTTCCCCACACATGTCATATTCTCGTCCAATTGTTGAAGCCGAGCCACCAAGTGCGTGCTCGTGCACCGAGTCCGACCGAGCCGCGCCCCTGCGCTATATTCAACGCCCGTGCGTCCGTCCGACCTACCGTCAACGCAATGTTTTCCGTTAGCCGTGGTCCAAGCACGCCCCTGCGTTAATCACAGTGGTGCCGTTTCAAACCCGTGCATCAGCAAAGCCGTGTCAGCTACCCGTGCATCAGCAAAGCCGTGTCAGCTGTGTTCGTGCTGGCCCCAAGTTTGCCATGCCGAAACCGGACCACAGTCAAGAAGTTAAGCAAATGATCGACCGGTACCGAGTGAGCCGTTGGTCCAGTTCAGTCCAATCATTTCGGGCAATCCAGATGATTCGAAGAGTATCCAGTTCAGTCGAATCAGTCCCGACAGTCCGGACGGTTCGGGAGTTTCTGTATCGCCCAGTTCGTTTATTAGAATTTTTCAAATTTTTATATTATTTATCTGCTTATTTATTTAAATGCTATGTAATTTATTTATGATTGTTACGCATTTTTATTTGTTTAAGCATTTGATGAGTCTACTCCCAGATCTGGAGTAAACCGGTTGTTGTGAGCTCAGATCTGCTTGGACCGCTTCCCAACCGTTGCTAGACCGCGAGAATACCTGCACAAACTCAACGCCGGAGGTGTTTCCGGCGTAGAGCCTCCGACGCTCAAGTCAGTATGTGAGTGATGAGGAGAGGCTGCGCAGCAGCTATAGGGAGAGTGGGAATGAATGAGAGTTAGGGTTTGGGTTACCTCACCTCCTCTATATAGGAGTGGATACTTACTTGAAGTGCCCAAAATGCCCAAGTCGGTGGACCATAAGGTCCAAAATGCCCTGGGCGATTCGTCTCCCCTTGTTGCTGAGTCATCATAAGATTCCTTCTTATCCTTTGTAATGTGTAGAGCTTTGGATGTGTTGTAAGTGTAGTGAATCGTCTTCACTGCTTTGATCCTCGAGATGTACAGAGTCGACCTCGAGAGTTAAGAGGTCGACTTATGAATATGTGCGATTTTGGAGGCTACGCTTGGTTTAACTCTGTGGTGAAGTTGTCTTCAGAGAGTCTTCATAGTGGAGTCGACTAATGGAAGTCGACTAAGGATACTGGGATGCCCAGGCGTTATGCTCCTGCTGTCCTTCTTCCATTGATGTCGACTAGTAAAGGTCGATAGACTAAGGTCGACTTACGAGAGTCGACTAGACCAATTTCTGCCTCTTCTTGGTTGCTCTTGGTAGAATCGACTTTAGGGAAGTCGATTTGAGCATGTCGACTGAGTCATGTCGATGTACGAGTTGTTCCAATAGTTCCTCGGTCGAGTGAGGAGCCTCTAGACCGGATTATCCTTATATGGCTATATCATCTAGTCCCCCCCCCCAAAAAAAATTACTCTAAGCAGTCGACTACTTAAGAGTAAATTTGGTTATCGATTTCTTTTCTCATCAGTCGCTCCTTGATGTCGAGACCCTTGCCTTCTGCGTTGCTATTGTAAGACCTCATCATCACCTTCTGGATAGTTCTGACAGCCTCACACTTCCCCTTTTTTTTTTCGAATTTTGAAATTCGAATTTGTACTTATTACATCATTTCAATTCCGCCGCCTCGAATTCCGCGACTCATCTGAACCGTTGATTTCAATTGAATCTAAAAGCTAAGGTCCTCCTTTATCCTGTATAAATATCTCTCCCATCGGTCCCAAATCACTTTTCACTTCCTTCTCAAACTCTTCTGAGCTTTCGAATTTCTCCGGCAATAAAGCGCTTCCGAGCTTCATTGGCAATCCATTCTCCGGTAACCGCAAGTTTCAAGACTTTCAGCGACAATCATGTGTAAGTATTACGCTCTTTGTACTTTTTGCTCTCTTTTCTCTTTTTTTTTTTTCTTGATTTTTTGCACCTCTTTCTGGGTTTCTCTGATCTGGAGTGCCCTTGCATGTTCTTCATGTTCTTATCTTTTTGTGCGATTCTTTGGGTTAGATCCTCTTCACTTAGAGATTTTCTTGGGTTTTCTGTTTGCCACCGCCTTGCCTCCCTCTGTTTTTATTACGGGAGTCGGGTTTGTCTTCTTTAAGTCGTTTTATGTTAGACGCGTCGACATGCACTATGCCCTTCTCGTCTTCACTAAGTCGAGCACTATTCCGCGGTTCCATTTATCTTGAATCCATTCTCGCCACTTCTCTTCTATCTTCTGGCTCGATTTGTGATGATTTCGTCGAGTCGACTTATCTTCTATTGGTGTTAACTCTCTCTTCATGCTGACTTCTTTTCGCCTAATCGACTTTTCTTTCGTTTCTTTTTCTAGATTCTGATCCCGACTCTTCACCCGATACTGTCGAACGCTTGATCGACGCAGACGCTCAGTCATCTGATTCGGTACAAATAGTCGGCTTCAAACCAGCCGATCAGTCTCCGAATTCTCATTCGGATGTTTCTTCTTTCGGCATTGACCAAGATGCTTATAGACAAGCGTGGATGTCGGGTGTCTTGGCTAAAGATCCCGAATCTTCCCACGTTAAGGAGTCTCCTCGTCTCGACCTCATTCCTCGAGGTATTCCCCTTAGGATCTTGGACTTACCTGTGTATAGAACTAGTCCTTCTTCTTTGCCCATACTTGCGCCTCTTCTCGAGGCTCGAGATGTTGTTTCCATAGCATGTCCTTTAGCTAAGTTAGCTGTTCTAAATCCTTTTTGTTATGCCTCTGCAGCCGAGGTCGAGGGCTTTAGGGTGTACAGCGGCCTTCCCGCAGACTGGGAACTCGTTATTTCCAAACCTAATGACGACTTTGCTACACCTCCTCCTGGTTTTTACACCTTTTTTATCGACCAAGTGTTGTTCGGGCTCCGTTTTCCCATTCAACCAGAGCTTCGCGCTATCAACGACTTGTACGATGTACCTATAAACCAGTTTTCTCCTAATGCGATTCGCATCATGATCGCCTTCATTGTTGTGTCTCGAATAAAGCTTAAGTATTTTTCTCCAGAGTTTCTTTTTTATTGCTATAGCTACCGATTCATAAAAGACGCCCACTGCTTGGGTCGTCGCGCTGGTGTCACATTTCTCGATGACCTTTCCTCCAACGTAACTAAATGGAAGTCTAAATTTGTTTTTATTCGACCTGCTCCCGGTACATACCTGTAACGCCCCACTTTATTTTAAAGGATTTATCGAATTTATTTAATAAAAATCACAATAAATTTTTCGCAAACTTTAATATAATTAAAAACTCAGTGGGCGCTACTCAAATTTACCAAAAGCCTTTATCAGAAAAAGCAACCACCTTAAAACGAAAGATAGCATGCTCGAATATTAAATCATAAACCTCACTAGCATTCATTAAGTTCCAAATCATAA